GAGAGAGAGAGAGAGAAAAGGAGAGAAAGAGAAAGGTGGAAAGAGAGCAGGGCATGGGAGATTCTGGGTGAATCTGTTGTATTCACACACCTTATGGGTTTTGTAGCCACATGCAGTTGAGACTACTCCAAATGTGGTCTGAGTGATCAGATCTCAAATGCGTCCTCAATGCATCTTGAATGAGTTAACACTTTGTACTTAGAGCTGTCAACTTGAAATTAAATCACTCAGGATGGATGTTAATATCAGGTCTGAACACAGCCCTATACAAACATGAACCTGATGAGATTACAGTTAGAAATTCTCTTTAGTCAATAGCCATGCCTTCTTAAACTTTTCCTGTCTTTTCTCTATGGTTTTAGACTCTGAGACTTTATGAGTGAGGTCTCGTAGCCTTAGGGAAAAGTCCTGTTAGAAACAGCTTTAAAAATGATGGCTCAACATCTAATAGCCTTTTAGCTGCAGCTAGAATTGGATTAGATGTTTCTGTGTATCTGGTAGTAGTGAGACTGGGGATGGAGCAGCCATTTCTGATAAAGCTTGAGCTGAAAGAGGAAGCTCTGGTTCTACTGAAAACAATTTAGTGTTGTAAAACATTGTTATTGTTAGAGCAGCACACACACACATTATTATTATTAGTATTGAAAAGTATATAAAGATATAAAGATTGATTCCATTCATCACCAAAAGCTCTGGGGCCTTGTATAAGCATCTTTCAGACCCCATTTTGTGCATACTCCACCTCTCACGCAAACATTGAGATTTATAAAAACAAACTTGACGTGAGATTGCGCGCACTTGTATGCAAACTTCAACCCTTGCGTATGAACATATTGGATATGTGGCAATGCAAACTTAAGGAGGTGATTTGAAGCCAGATTATTGATCCACTTCATCAGAAACATTAAAACCAACAGTGTTAGCTGGTACAGAAGCGAGCGATTGATAGTTTTTAATTACATCTTCTGTAACACTGCGTCTGTACCATGAGTACAACTGTAGTTGTCATATAGTGTGAGAGCGTGTGTAGTGAATGTGTCTGTGCTATCAGACGAACAGAGCACATTGGAAACACAGCTGCGAAAGTGATCTTGTAATTGATTGGCTATACATCCCTGCATCATTCAAGTGAAACAGTTCCTTCATTGTGGCCTTGTTTAATATCTGCATAAGATGCAGCAGTAGGTGTACTTTGTAACTGAGCAGAACAATAAGATTTTACTGTAACACACAGAAGGTAAACTCAGCTAACAGGGTAGAGGCAGTTGATAATTGGTGCTGCGTATTTTCACGATCCAGTTAAAAGTCTATAGTCTGTAGACTGTAAACTGTGTTCCTTTTTGTGGCATTGCAGAGTCTAAAGCCATGATCTGTTTCCTGATTAATTGTCATAGAATTTCATGCACATTCACAACCTCCTCACTGTTTTTCTCAGTGGTTCCTCGACAGTAATGAAAAACACACACACACACACATTTGTACTTCTGTTTTAATGAGGACACTCATAGGCATAATGCATTCCCTAACCCCTTACCCTATCTTTAACCATCACAACTAAATGGCTAACCCTAACTTTAAAACCAAGTCTTAACCCCCAAACAGTTCATTAAAGGTGGGTCAAATGTCCTCACTCTGTAGGTTGTAGGCTTGAAATGGTCCTCACAAAGACATCTGTACAAGAGCAGCGGAAGTGTCCTTGTGCAAAATAATGAACCGTAAGTTGCTGGCAGTGAATAAGTGATGTATGATAGAGAAATGATAGATGCACTGGGTGAATGTGTGTTTGAATGGGTGAATGCAAAACTGTACTGTAAAGCACCTTAAGTGAGACTTGAATAAAAATAGATAAACCATAAATAACAATAATGCATCCTTTTCCAGCTTATTATCAATAACCTGCCTTAAAATTGTGGTTGTGAACTTGTAGTCTCTCAAGTTAGCAGGTTCAAGTTATACTGCTGAGTACACAAACACCGAATTTTAAATGTGGTCCTTTCACTTTGTGTCTGAGTGGAAACAGCTTAGATAAATAAATAGCCTCTTGCTGTGCAGGACAAAACACTAGATGTATTTCAGTCATTTGAGCTTGCTGTTGTAAAGGTAAAGCAAGCACAACCAGTAGGTCTGATTCAAGTTGGAAACCATTCCTCTACTTTTATACATATATATATATATATATATTTTATATATATGAAAAAGTCAGAGGGCACATACTGTATGTATTGGCAGTAAGACACTGACTCGGTTGACAGGGGGCGGCTGTGGCTTTGTCCTCGAACAAAAAGGTGGTTTGATCCCGGTCTTTCCCATCCCACATGCCAAAGTGTCCTTGGGCAAGATATTATATCCCGATTTGTCCCTAATAGAAAAAAGTGCTGCCCATAAATTGTGTGAATGTGTGTGTGAATGGGTGAATGGCATTAAAACTATAGTGTAAAGTGCTTTGAGTGGTCATCAAGACTAGAGAAGCTCTATATGAATACAGACCATTTACCATTGTTTTATGCTTGAGGTTTTAATGTAAAATAACAAATTAACATTAACAAAGCTAATGAAAAATGTTTTTTGCATTTTGTTGCTGTTGCATGATTGCCATCCTCCTCCTAATAGACCTGTGCAAATCTCAGTGATTGTAGTTCAATAGAACTGTATGATTGACACTAATGGAAAGCTTCCTTACAGAGCCTCCAACCCTTTCAGTAGTCCTGTGCAAGAAAGACAGCAGAGGGCGATGGAGAGGCTGGGGGATGACTATCAAATCCCTTCATCCAACCTCTGTCTGAACCAGGCTCCAATCTGCATCTCTGTACCCAGCAGGTACTGACCTCCTCACAGTATTTATGTTACCATGGTGATGCAGCAATGGTGGTTTCAAAGCTTAATAAGTCTGCTGTGAACCAAAGACATTTCCTCTGTTATTCAGGCACTTGGAGAATGGCTCCACAGAGCTGTCCAATGAGGAGAAGAAGCAGCAGTTCACTGAGACTGGTAAGTCCTGAAACCAGCAGAGATGATCATTACATATTATAACCATGATATGACATCACTGACCTGACTATCTGACATAATTACTGTTGTAATGAGCAGGTGAATATGACCCATATCATTCTTTAAAACACTATTGAGTTTAAAAACATATATATATATATATATATATATTCATTCATATACTCTCTGCTGAACTGTGCTTGTGTTCCTCAGGTAGACACTCAGAATCAGTCAGGGAGTTGGTCCCAGGGGCAGCAAATACTGCTCTCTGCCCCTTCAACACCAGCCAGTCACCCTCCAACTATGACATTCTGCTGCCCCCCCAAGGTAGCTCAACCCAACACATACCACCCTCACCTGCCCCATCCAGCCTCAGCTCCCCCACTGTCATAGCCTCCTCTGTTGACATATTCTGTCTGTCTCATCCTGTCTACTCTGTGTGTGTCCTTCAGACATGTCTTACTGTGAAATGTCTCTCTAGCCTTATATCTCCCACTGCCAAACTTGTATCCCTGACTATTTCCTATGAACATTATCCTGAAGATTATTAGAAGATAATAAAATCTGTTTATAACTTTAATTGAAGTGTTAATGATAATGAAATCATATACTGCTCATACATGGCATACATGATGATTTGTGACCATCCTTCTATTAGTAACTCATATGGTTCTAATTTTGAATAGAATGAAAGAACACTGTGCAACATGAGCCACAGCTGGATATGGCAGCTGTGATAGACACTAGTGCTGTCAACAAACAGAAGTAGGCTTCAGATGAAGGCCTAGTGACACCAGTTCAGATTGTGTAGTGTGTAGACTCTGTAGTTTAGCATACGAGTCATACACTTGACGTACATGGGTAAGTATTTAAAACCTAAACACGACCTAACCCACTACAAACCTGTTCTAGTCCTCGTTTGGCCTCTCTCTAAAAGACAGAATGCCAGTCCCTCTTCAGTATGCGGCTCCGATTTCATAGTCAGCTGCCTGGGTCCTCATGGAATACGCATCAATCAAGGCAGAGCAGATAACTCAGTGTTGTTGGTGTCCCCTGTTGTGTTTCAGCATTAGAAGACCCCTTCAACAGTCGCCCTCCATCCCAGCCTCCCCCTTCTCCTCCTCCTCCGCCCGCACGACACAGCTTTACTGACCTCTTCACATCTCTGCCGTCCTCATCCTGCAACTCCTCCACCTCTTCCTCTGTCATCGCACGTCCACACCGGCCCTCCTCCGGACATGAGCATTTACTGTTAACCCCCGGTGAGCAAACAAACATTTCAATTACAGTTTCAAAGTGATAAAGGTGGTGCATCTCCCACAGTGTTATGCTAATTTTAGATTTTTCTGTTTGTATTATGCTCAAGGAATTGTGGGAAATTGAACACACATAATTTACTGCATTACTTTGTTGACTGATAGATAAGCATCTAGGTTGTTTACCTGACTTTGTCTGTGTCATCTGTGGTCTAGACACAGTGTTTGACATGCTGAACAGTGCTGCTCCCCTGCCTCCAGTCAGACGACACACAGAAAATGTTAAAGGCTCCAGAGGCTGCCTTGAATACGACCATTTACCAGGTAGTCAAGGTAGAGTTATATCCCCTCCCCCTGCAAATAAGTACATGGAGAAATTCACACAGGTCTTGATAAGGATGTAATTTCTACAAAAACAGATTACATATTACTATTACATATAGTTGTATTATAGCTATGAGTGCCTCAGTCATTTCACGTTATCAACATAAGACCAAAAAATATCAAAATCATGTCCTCCAATAATTAAGGTCTGGATTAAGTATGAACCTTTGAACTTTATGAAACCAAAGAAGCGTTCATGGGCCTGGAGACTCTTATAAACATGAACAACATGAACAGGAAGCCTGAAGCAGCTTCACTGATGATGCAGGAGTTGCTTTGTGCCTGTTTCCCCTGTTTCCCTTGAAGTAGGCAGACTGTGTCTGAGACAGTAACTAATGACAGAGGTCTGAACTCTGAAGGTGGAAAAATGTAAAAGCTTTAACTTCTGTGACTAGCAGCAATTGGTCTACTAACTGTTTCTTGACCAACAATACTCATCACCATACACATTTTTCCACTGACACAATTTCTCTCCCTCTCCTCTCCAAGTATTGATGGACTCGCAGGCCCCTGCCAGGCCACCCAAGCCACTGCCCAGGAAGATCCCTCCAGACATCCAGCCAGGCAAACCCCACAGCATGGATCCCCAGAATGTAGACGCCAAGATCGCCAAGTTGATGGGAGAGGGTTACTCCTTTGAAGATGTGAAGCGGGCCCTTATGATTGCCCAGTACAAAGTGGATGTGGCCCGAAACATTCTGCGAGAATTTGCCTTAGTGGCCCCGAGACTGAACCTCTAGTCCTTGAGACAGTTAAAGGGAAGCACAAGCATGACGCTGTGCCTCTGAATGGATTCAACAAAAAGGGCTTCTCCGTTCTCCTTGGCCTCAGACCATTGGAAAAATCTATGATCATCAGAGAAAAGAAAGATTTCAAGAATGACTTGCCTTTTGTTGCCAAACAGAGATGATGATGTACAACAAAGTGGCTAAAACCAAATCATGTCGGAACTTAGAGAATGAAAAGTGATGAAAGACAGAATGATCTAAACCTGTCAAAAAAGAAACAGGCTTGTTGTCGTTTATAGTGAGCTTTGCCGGTGCTGGCTTCTGGTTTTAAAAAGCTCCGGTTTGAATTGGACTGTTGGACTGGCTATTTTAAAGCCACAGCTACTGCTGCTACTGTTCCTTTCACATCCTGTCACCCTCCAGTCTGTATTTTGAAAGGGCTTTTCAAAAGAGCTAGACATTTCCTGCCCATTTCAGCTTCCACGCTCGCACAGTTATAAGGAGTCATTTCTATTTACACCCAGTGGGGGGAGCCAGACTCCACTGTTTCTCTAACTCAATTTCTCACTTGCCTCTTGGCGCTATCTCCTACTTCTTCCTCTTCTTTGCCTCGTGTGTTGCCCATTAGAGAATACTCCACTGTTTGCACAGAGTCTGTCTGATGCGTAGGTCTTAACAAGGTCTGGTGAGCTGGGAGTGGTTAGATGGAGCCAGAGGATGCCTTATTGATTCACTTATTTTCCCCAGACCTTCAGAAAACTGCACCACAGCTTATTTTGACAAGGAGTGTAAAGCAACAAGAGAGTGTGTGTGTGTGTTTGTGTCTGTGTCTGTGTGTGTGTCTGCGTGTTTCTGTTCTCAGACCAGAGATTTAATCAACTGAGGCCTTTTTTAATGACATTCTTCATCTGAGGATAGCAAGCCCATGAATATATTTGTTCTGCATGAGTGAGCTATACCTTTGTACACTATGAGCTCCTAAAGTGATTAAGTGGTTTAAATTGTTCAGTGTTTGTCGGAAAAGGTTTAAATCCTCCACAATTACTTCAAGTCTAAAGCCAGACAATTGTGCCTGCATTTTAACTCAAGCATTTAGATGATAGGAGTGAACCTGTTGTGTAGATCAGCAGCCAGAGCTCTGAGATGACGGTGCTCATTAGTCGTCATGCTGCATCATCCTGTCTCAACTTCAGTTAAACAGCCATCGTTGTCCCCACATGAAGAACTCTCACTCTGATGTGGAGTGCAAGTCACTCTGATAGCTTTGCAGCAGTTATTCTTTATTTTTTTTATCTCAAATTCTTCTGTAAACACAACAGACCTGAACTGCAGAGCTTTCAAATGATGAGACCTGTCTTATGCACCTTCACTGTCCAGCACAGGTGAAGTCAAAACCCCCTTACCTCAGAATCAGCTGTAAACCCCCTATGTCACCTATGCATATAATGGATTAGCTCAAATGTAAAACAGTGAGGTTTTTATTTCCTCAGTAAGAGGGAAGAAGGGGGCTATGTTTACATGAATGATACATTTTCCTTTTTATTCATTCTATTTTCATAGCAATTAGACAACCGGTTAATTTCAATATATAATTCTGGACTGGAGTTGGAAACACAGTGCCAACAAAGTCTAACAAGTCAAGCAACTCAAGTGGTCTGACGATCAGGCAGTCTGTGCCAAACATGTCTTGTTTACCTGTCAGACACCTGACCTCTTTAAAACAACTGGGTTTACAGATCTCTGCGATTTGGAGAGTACAATGTTATGTTATGTTAATGGTATTCTAAAGAGACCTGAGCAGTAAAAGAAAACAAATGTTTTAAAGGTGATATGTGTATGGGACTTGTCAGGAGTGATTGTTATTTGCCACCACTGTGAAGAGATGGGTCAGGGGTAGCTATTTAGAATGCTAACATCAGTTGAAACAAAGAAGCGATAGATATGGAAGAAAAAGAAGCTTTAAAATTGGTGTTGTTTTGTTGATGATGAACATTTCCTCTCAGTATGTACTGCAACAACAGTCACAAAAATGTTGGTCTCAGAAAAAGAAATATTTGTGTCTCAGAATGAATTGTCTGGTAAATGATGGGCTAACAGAGATTGACAGCTTACATACTTACTTAGCTTCATGACAGTACAAGTGATTTGTTAACATGACGTGTGGTTTTAACAATGGTGTGGAACAGGACTGTTGTAAGTTTTATTGTAGTAACGATTCATAGAGTCGACTGAGCTGGAGACTGTGCAGGATCTGAGGCTGTGAATGTTGTTTATGATCAAATAAGAGCGGACTCTTTGGACTCCTGTGTTTAGTGAGTGAGTCCAGCTGAATAAACACTTCGAGAACAACGCATAGCATTGACCCATTTTCACCTCAACGCTCATTTTTCCTGGAGCCCTTCTGCAGCAATCAAAATTAATTTGGAAGACTTAATGAATTTCTTCACAGTGAGGCTTTAAACTGTTAATTGATTTTGCCTGACTGTGATTGAGCTTCCTCAAAGCACAGATAACAGAGAGTTTCTGATCAACTATTGAATAGTGTGGCTGTTAAGATAGAAATGAAAAGGTTTAGTTGGGCCATCTTGATAAAACAGCAGGAGGACATCATGATCCCAGTTCTAAAAACACAGCTCACTGACTCTATTTTTTTTTTCCACGTCTGCATAATGTGATGATGTGAATTAAAACATGAAAGTACTGTTGTGTTCATGTGTACAAATAAGCCAGGCCTCTCCACAGGACGTATTTACAATATGATCCTAACCCTGATTGATATCTAGATTGTAAATGGATTGTATTTATATGATGCTTTGAGACCATTCAAAGCACTTTACAGTATAATTCACATTTACACATTGATACACACATCCATTCAGGTGCTTCTTTCACCACAGCCATCAAGGGCCATCCCTCTCTACCTCCTGAGCCACAGCCACTCTAAAACCAGTTTGGTGACCAGGTTAGTTGCTGTGTGCATAAGTGAGTGTAAGCCGCTGAGAAACATACAACGCTGTGTAATCAAGACCAAATAACCAAATTAGTGAACGTGCTCTTGAAGTCAAACAACGTGGAAGTCACAAAAGACATTGTTTTATTATTTCAGTCATCGGGTCACTGTGACAGTAAACAGACAATGGCTGACTCCTCGTCTGACCCATCCCTCCACACAGAGGGATGTATTCGTCCCACTGTCGTTACTCCCTTTCTTTTCTGAGCAGCACTTTAAAGGAGGACTGCAGTTTAAAATGTACATATGTTTATAATACGGCCTAAGACAGTCCAGAGATAGCTTGTGATAATGAGCGATGCTGTGCGCAAGAAGGAAGTCTTAGAACCAAGTCTCTAATCTGTGTGTCTACAGTGCAAACACATTCACAAAACCTTGTTTACCACCATCGTGCTGTGTGTTTATGCAGCACACCAACAAAACAAAAACACACGTGTAAATGTATAATTAGGCACTTAGATAATACCTAGTCATCAGAAAAGCAGCTCTATGCTCCCCTAACGATGAGCGATGAAAATTCTGGACTTGATTTACATTTCAACAATTATGTGGTGTTTATATAACGACAGTGCTTTTTATACCGAACCAGAAAAATGTTCTCTCAGACTACTCTCCCTTTCCAACTCACAAAGTAGAGCACTGCTAATGTTTGGTTTATTTCCAGTACAAATAGGGAATTCAGATGTGAAAATCAGTGGCATTCCTCTTAACCTCGGCACTGTTACTTTAATTTTCTCAAACTTTAACAACTCTGATCTCAGAATTGTCCATTCTATTGGACTTCCTGTTGAGAGGGTGTGTGGCCTTGGGTTGCAAAGAGCAGTGTTTATTATCAAATTTCCGTGTTCAAAAACGTGTTGATAATATGTAAAGCAAAGAGTTATGGATGATTAATTTATACATCTTTGTTTTTTCTTTCTCTCGAAATATTTTCATGGACAAGTAAATAAAAAAGTTACAATCCCTTTGTGTGTGTGTGTGTGTGTGTGTGTGTGTGTGTGTGTGTGTGTAGCCTGTAACCACATATTTATAGTCCTTTAAAAATCACTCGGATAAGCAATTGTGTATTTGAATTTCCACCACAATCTGCCGTGAAGTGACCTGCTGCCACTAATGTCATGAATAATAGTTATGTTTCCAGGGCACAGTATTCTTTATTATTATTTTTATTATTATGATTACCCCCATCTTTTTCACTCAATTTTCCATGTACGACCTCCCTCACTGATGCAGTATACATTGCACTATGGGAAATTACACTACACAGTTAACCATACTTTATTTAATAATACTCAAAATATGTTCAAAGTCATTATTTATTAATGATTTAAGACTTGGGGGCATGTTTCAGTTTGGTGAATTAGGTGGATTCAGTGTCTCTTTGGAGGAACAATAAAAACAATTCAACACTTCCAACATGTGTCCTGTTAACACCAAGATTAGATCTCTCTGAACAATACACTATTTGTTCAAGGCATCGTCAAGGAATTCAAAAAAACCTCCCCCTTAGTGAGCCAACCTGAATCACCCAAAGAGTGTATCCGATCAAAATAACTGCATCCTGGGGGTGCTGCGTTTCCACGTCTGTATTTTTATATGGCATCTTATAATTATAAACAAAAGATGCATGGGCTTAAGCACTACACTCCCCCAAGAAATCAGAGTCTCTGAACCAGCAAGACACTGAAACAACAGTGATGCTCCTCACATCCTCCTACACACGTTTCAATTGTCCTTCTACCCATTTCATTTACCGATGCAGGCATTGCCTGCAGTTGGCACAAACAAGTCAGATTGTCAACACATAGCAGTAAAGCCACTAATTAGCACAGAGATCTAACAGAGGAGGTTTCTAATCCGTGTTTGAGGCTGACAACAAATGGGCAAATGGATCAGCCACTTGCTCTCTAAAGATGTCTCTGATTGACAGCTGTGCTGTCTTGAGCACAGTTCAAACTCATTTTAATGGCTTCCCAACTATGGCTGGAGGCTAACTGGCTCAACTATAGCCAGGGACATGGTCTTACAGCTGGGACAGAGGTCAAAAGTTGAATGAAGTTGGCTTCATCCCAGTAATCCTGGACTGATTCAATTCAATTCAATTCTAATTTCATTTGTATAGCCCCAAATCATAACATCCATTATCTCAAGGTGCTGTGCATGTTAAGTTCGAAACCCAACAGTTCCCACAATGAGCAGCACTTTGGCGACTGTGGAGTGAAAACACTCCCTCATTAACTGAAAGAAACCTCTCAGAAAACCAGAGACTCTCAGAGTCTGCCTCGACCGGTTGGGGTGAGTGGAGAAAAATGGGAGAGAGAGGAGAGGTAGGTGTAAAAGAGGGGGGTGGGGTGGGGGAGACCAGAAACCGTTCTGTTACCATCAATTAAGCTCTGTCAGACTGGTTATTAAAACGAAAATAAACAAAATGATATTTATAGATAATGATTCATGCAGCAACAATAATAATAATAATAATAATGATAGTCATAATCCTGCTGTCAGGGCTCTGGCCGTTTCCATGGTGTTTTCTGCGTCCCTCCTCCTTTTCCTCTTCCTCCAACTTCCGTTCCCCAATCAGCTGGTGCTCCCTCCCCGACGACTTCCACAAGCTCTCTTCCTCTCCTCTTCGCGAAAGAGCCCATGCAGCTAGGTGGTACTTGCCTTTCACCTGCAGAGCACCAACGACGCCTGGCGGTGGGACTGTGTATTTACTGCGATAAGGCTGGGCCCTTGCTCGCTGTCTGTCCATCCCTGCCAAAAGAGAGGGCTCATCAGATGTGAGAGAGATTCTGATGAGCCCCACATGTTTCACTCTCTCACTCACATATGCAATTCCAAGCCACCTTAGCTTTTCACGGCATCACCATACCCACCCTCGTGGACTACAAAGCGGATTACAACTTCCTAGACACATCTCTTGTTCTCCAGGAAGCCATCCCCTCTCCCCTCAAAGTGAATGCCCTAGATGGCAGGTTGTTGGCCCAAGTAACCCACCAGACTGATCAGGTGGAACTGATTCTGTCTGGGAACCACCATGAAAAACTAAGTTAAAGTTACTGGCCATTCCTTCCCCTAATGCCCCCATAGTACTTGGTCAGACCTGGCTGAGGATGCATAACCCTCACATTGACTGGTCCACCTGTTCAATAATCAGCAGGAGCCCCTTTTGTCATTACCATTGCCTGCAGTCTGCACAGGCCCCCTTTCAGAACTGCACAGCACCTACACCAGCGCCTCAGGATCTCATCCTCATCCCTCCCGAATATCATGATCTAGCAGAGGCTTTTTGTATATTAAAAGCTCAGACTCTGCCCCCACACAGGCCATACGACTGCGCTATAGATCCGCTCCTTGGCGCCCACCTTCCGTCCCGTCGCCTTTACAACGTCTCCCGTCCTGAGAGGGAGGCCATGGAGAATTATATTAAGGACTCGCTGGCAGCTGGACTCATCCGTGCATCCTCGTCACCTGTAGGTGCAGGATTCTTCTTCGTAACCAAGAAAGACAAGACACTCCGCCCACGTATTGATTTCAGGGGACTAAACAAGATCACAGTTAAAAATAAATACCCTCTCCCCTTAATAGACCCTGCCTTATAGCCACTTCATCAAGCCTCGGTATTTTCTAAGCAGGACCTAAGGAATGCCTACCACTGGGGTGGCTGTGGCTGAGGGGTAGAGTGGTTGTCCTCCAACCAGAAGGTCAGAAGTTCAATCCCCTGTCTTCCCATCTGCAAAGTGTCCTTGGGCAAGATGCTGAACCCCAAATTGCCCAATAGAACAACAAAAAAAGTGCTAGCTATAGAAGCACTGTATGTATGCATGTATGGGTGATGGAATGGAAAACTGTAGTGTAAAGCGCTTTGAGTGGTCATCAAGACAAGAAAAGCACTATATAAATACAACCATTTACCACCTCATCCAGATCCGAAAAGGAGGATTATGGAAGACAGTCCAACACTCCCATGCCATTCAGACTCACTTTTACACCCGGCCTAACATAAACGGCTTCCCTCTTTCTCCACTCCTAAGTATAACCAGTTCCATGCAGATTGTTTTGCAGTCTAAACTAATTATTTATTTTTTGTTAGATAAAAAAACGAAGGAAGAGCACAGCCAAAATAACAAACAAAATAATCTATAACAGCAAACTAACTTCCCTACTTTAAATGAAAAAGACGAAAAAGAAAATACAGGGATATTACCTGCCTACCTAACCAAAACAGGAGAAAAGGATGTAAAAAACAAAAAAGGCTTCTCTTCCTCACCACTACTCAGGACTGGTTCAAACATTAATCAGAACGGTAATCAACAGAACACTTTAACAATCAGTCTGATGTATAGCAACAGCACCGTCGCCTCGGGAGCTGGGAAAAAGAACCGAGGCCACTGGCAACATCAGGTCAGCCTTTTTAAAATGGGCTCCATCAGGTCTTCCTCCAATCCCCTGTCGGACCTGAAACACAGACAGAGAAAACAACACCATGCCCAGATCCTCCATGTCATGCTGAACTGTATCGTCTTCGTATACCTTGATGAGCATGGCCAGCATGTCCAGTCAGTACTCTGCTGCCTCTGTGTTAAGTTCCACGTAACATCTGTTAGCTTCTTAGGTTTCATCATTGAGCAGGGGTGGGTGAAGACAGACCCAGCCAAGGTCCAGGCAGTGGCAGAGTGGCCCACTCCCACTAACCACAAGAAGCGGTAGAAGGTTTGCCAACTTCTACCGACGCTTCATTCTGAACTACAGTTGAGTGGCCACTTCCCTCACCCAACTCACCTTTCCTGCAGTTCCCTTCATCTGGACTCCTGAGGTAGTAGCTGCATTCAACACACTCAAACAACTCTTCACCAGTGCACCGGTTTTAATTCACCCTGACCCCGAGCTGCAGTTTGTGGTAGAAGTAGTCCTGTCTCAGCGCACCCCCCAAGATCACAAACTGCATCCCTGTGCCTTTTTTTCACATTGTCCTCCCCAGCAGAAAAGAATTATGACATAGGCAATTGGGAAATCCTAGCGGTGAAGTTGGCTTTGGCAGAGTGGCGACATTGGCTGGAGGGAGCAGAACAGCCATTCATCGAATGGACGGACTACAAGAACCTCGCCTATCTGCGCTCTGCCAAGCAGCCGAACTCTCACCAGGCCCGCTGGGCACTGTTTCTAGGCCGCTTCAATTACATAATCACGTTCCGTCCTGGAACCTGCAACACTAAGCCTGATGCCCTCTCTCGCCAAACAGTTCCAGAAAAGGCAACTATCGAGCCTGAGACCATCCTGCTCCCCTTCTGTGTAGTTGGAGCTGCCACATGGGAGGTGGAGACCCTGGTACAGGAGGCCCAACACTCACACCCTGACCCAGGTAATGGTCCACCTAACACACTTTTTGTGCCTGAGTCAGCCAGGTCCCGGGTCCTCCAGTGGGGGCCCTCCTCTAAGCTCACCTGCCACCCAGGCTTTCACCACACCCTCACCTTCATCCGGCTCTGGTTCTGGTGGCCGTCCATGTCGCCAGACACCTGTGCATTCGTGTCTGCCTGCTCCGTTTGCATCTGCAGCAAGGAATCTTACCATCCTCCAGCCGGTATGGCTGTCTTCCTTCTTGAAAACTGGCTCTCTGGTATGTTGGTCCCTTCGAGATTATTAAAATCATTAACCCCTCTATCGTCAAATTAGGCTGCCTGCATCTCTGAGGATCCACCCCACTTTTCATGTGTCACGGCTCTGGCCGTTTCCATGGTGTTTTCTGTGTCCCTCCTCCTTTTCCTCCTCCTGGTGTGTGTGTGTGTGTGCGTGGGCGCAGTCTCCACTCTTGGCTCCTGGCTTCAATCCTACACCTGGCTTCAATCATCCTCATCACCGGCTCTACAAATACCCGGGTCTCACCTCCACTCATCGCCAGATTGTTATAGTCACTCCTGTGTTACACACTTTCGGCCGCACTGATTGTGTTTTCCTAGAGAAAGAACCTCCTCGCTTGTTCACAAACTGTTCCTGTCTGTGTCTGCTTCCGGGTCCAGCCAAAACAAAACCTTAACGACTGCAGCTCTGAAGTAAGAGATACCTGCAGAATATGAGACACATGACAGAGAGAAAGAGAAACTGTGGGAAAAAAAACAAAAGTTAGTGACATGTAAGCAAATAGGGGGACAGAGAGAGAGGTAGAGAGAGTAAGTGCTCAGTGCATGATGGGAGTTCCCCCAGCAGTCTTCACCTATAGCAGCATAACTAAGGGATGGTTCAGGACTCACCTGATCCAGAACTAACTAGTCTTTATCAAAAAGGAACGCTTTAAGTTTAACTTTAAATGCAGAGATGGTGTCTGCCTCCTGAACCCAGAGTGGGAGCTGGTTCCACAGGAGAGGAGCCTGTTAGCTGAATGCTCTACCTCCTGTTCTCTAAGACTCTTGGAACCACAAGAGAGGATGTATTATGGACTATATAATGTTATGAGCTCTTTGATATTAGAGGGTTATGATGAGGGCTTGATGATGTGATGCTGTTGTATTCGTCTTCAGCTCTGGGTTGTAACAGTAGCTGACTGGTTAGGATTGGTCCTTGATGTAATGATGAATGTTTGTGTAACTGAAATATAGAGGTGGAAACTTTAAAGAAGTAATCAGTTCCTGTATAGGCAGATTAAAAAGAGGACCAACTCAACAAACACTGCCATGTCGGGCCTTCAGTTTACTGTGGATCTGTGCATTTATATAATTCTGGTTATATTTTGTACCAGGTTTCCATGTCTATTCTCATGACCTCCAGAAGCGCTCAGTGACATGTTCAGCTGTAAAAAGTGCAGTAGTGCAGTTGATAGGGAATTGACAAAAAACCCTGGATTGTTTTTTTTATTTTTTCAAAATGTACACTTTATTGTCGACAACAGTACAAAAAACAAAAGGGTGTATTTACAACTCTGCTATGGCCTTCTCATTGTACCCTCTTTGGTTTGACTGCTGACCTGATTATTTGAAAAGGAACAAAAAAGAACAATTGACTAGGTGCCTAAAAATGACCCACTGCTTTCATGTCATGCAGTTTAACCACAACCTCATAATACAAACTGTTTTCCTTGCCAAAAAAGGTAAAAGAACAGAATGCAATCTCTTTGCTCCGGTTTGGAAATTACCATCCCAGAGACCTAGAGATGTACTAATGTCACAATGTCAGCTGATACAAAGCCTGTCCATGTATCCAACAGGTAATTCCCACAAGGACATTTGAACCAGATGATGACTCAATAACATAATCTGGGTCTACTCGTATTCTCAAGTGATTTAACAGAATATGACTCAAACATTCAAATGCATTCATCAAATTTAAATGTTACAAACTCAAATGTTGTGTACAAAGTAAATTCTTAACCATAAATAGAAACATTTATGACTCCTGTCAAACCAACAGTTTTTCGGTCGCCGTGCTGCTTGTGCGATGAACCAGAGCAGAATGATGTAAACCCAGGGAGCCATGATTTTTTGTACCTCATCTAATCTGTCTTCAGTTTGGCTTATCCTTCACGCCACTTAGCAAAAATAACATAAAAATGACAACATTACAGCAGAGAATGAGGAAAGATACCACGAGTCCTTATTCACTCTAATGATCCTACCGCTCAGTATGTTTTCAACACTTGACGCCTTCCTTGCAGGTTTAAAAAAAAGATATTGTGCATGCTGCAGCATAGCCATCCAGGTAGGTTACATGCAGAATATAAATACACCAAAAACACACACAAAACAACATAAAAACCAAAAAGAACATTCAGACCTGGCATCAAAAGGAAAACATGAAAAAAAACAATAACAAACAAAGTCTCAGCCTGTTGGGAAGACAGGTGAAGACAACAATGTAGTGTGTTCAACTAAATCACACATTTAGCATCAACTCTAAAAAAACGTTTATAGCAGAACATCACTTTGCAGTTCTTAGAAGTTGTGCTTTCCTGATGACTTATTGACTTCTCAATGCATTTTGCTTTTTCACATCAAATTGTTTGCAACATAGAGGTATTAAAATGTCCATCTTGAGACTAACAAAAAGTGAAAACAGCTGAAGAGGAAAAATGTCTTTCTGTCAAAGAGAACTAATGCGTCACAATGCCCCATTGACCGACATTCAATTTACATATTCACAAATGAAATAATTAAAATGATTGTTTCATTTTTGGAACAGTTACTGCATGTATAGAAATGAATCACAGTACATAAGATTCCATATTTAATATGACTACATCTGTTGTTATCTAAATATTCAATCAATTACTTTTCCAGTGTTTAAAGCCCAGAGAACATAATTCAGGAGGTTGAGAGATGCTGATGGTATTTTCTAAAAGGTTTAATGACTGTTTCTTTGGGTATATACAGCAGTGAAGTGTCTTTTCCTCTCAGCATAGTCAAAGGCTTTTACACACACGGCGCACAAAAAATTAAAAGGAGAAATCAAAAATAAACATTGGGATGCTCAGCCAGGGCACACACATAATTAGGATTTGTTATATACGTGCCTTAAAAAGTGTACAAGGAATTAACATTCTTTGAAGAGGAAAAATGAAGTGGCAAAACCCATCACTCTATAGTCTTGTGGAATTGCTCAAACAAAAACACAGAGCATTCACCAGGAACACAAAAAAAGCAAAAGGACACTTTAACACGAGGCAGCCTTCAAACAGCGAGGTGGGACAGCAGGACCTGGTGGAAAATGACTCTGATTGTTGCTGCTTATGTGGAGCCTGATGGACAGTTCAGCAACTGGGAGGCTGTTTTGATGACACAGGACTGCTTTCAACTGCTTCTTCCCCACAGAGACATAGAGATAAAAAAAATCATTAATCAACAGTCATTTCAGTCTAAAATTTGAACATACGATGCCCAGAAAACAGTCATACAGAAATATAAGCCCACATTCATCTCAAAGGCTAATTCCAGTTCATTATAACCTAGATCTTATTTACTTAACCGCCATCACCTCTATCCAGTATGATTTGTACTCAGCAAAGTATTTATGTGGGAACATGATGAAATCAATACAAGTACAACAAAGTCCTGGACAATTATGCACATGCAAGAACGCATGTACAGGGCAACACTTTCAAAACTTTAAGCATGCTAACATGCACAGGTATATGTTTTCCCATGTTCACTAAGTTAATTAGCCTGCTCACATTTACTAATAAATGGTCAACTCAAAGCACAGCTGAGGCTGATGGGAATGTTTCACTGGTATTCAGACATAAACCAAGATAACAGACAATGATGAGAAACCAGAGGATCAACAAACATTACATGCTGAGGGAAGCATGGATCTCTGCTCCATATTTCATTTGACAGTATTCTAACCAAAGACTGACACTGCCACCCCTAGAGCCCTGAAAGGGGAAAGTGTGATTAAAAAAATACCTTTAAATCATTTTGGCTGCTTTCACTGACAGTCTATACAGTAAAATGCCAATAAAAGGCACAAATGTATATTAAATATTGATATGACAGTTTCCCAGATCTGGCCAATCTGGCCAAGGCCGATTTTTATTGCCTCCTGTTAGCTGGTTGCAGTATAGAGCATAAACCGTGTCTCCTCCATGTTAGAGGATGGAACATGGACCATCCTCTATCATGGAGGACATTATTGTCACGGATGGTTTCTGTCATTTTAGAGTAGGCCACTTTCCGCTGATGTATGTCTGTTCATTTTTCCAGCAAGTTTGATTTTAATTAGTTTATCATGATTGGGACTGACTCATGATGGTCATCATGGTGTGTATATCTGCTGCTCCACACCTCGATCCCTACTGCGCAGGCTCCAAATGACATCAAGAGCAGAAGATCTTAATATACTGTCTATAGTTGTGACACATTCCTCTCACATTGATCATAAACTTTTTTGTGTGATGTACTTCATCAGTCTTTTCAAAGCAGATAGGAAGACCTTCACTCATCTATGGCCCTAATCAGACCTGGTTTAACGTCCATCTTGACACACGTGGCATAAAAATGCATCCTAATGTGTCTCCTTTGACCACTTCTAATCGCATCTCTCTCCCCTGCTGTGCATTATTATGTAAGGCATTTGTATTTACAAAGACTAGATTATGTTGCAAGAAAGAGAGAGAGCACAAGTGATTCAAGAGGGACTCAATGATTAAAAGAATGTGCAACTCTGCTATGAAGAAAGATTTTTACCAATTTAAAAAATATCATTATAAAGTGGTCAGTGTTGATAATGGTGACCACAAACTTTCTGTGTGGGCACAAAGAAGTGTAAACATTTGATTTATTGCAGATACCAGGATGTCAGCTGAGTAGGCAGTCCTTCAAAATTTGTGTTCACACAGCAAAAACAATGTGGCCACAAGCGTCCCAGATCACCTCTGAATGAGGTTTGAGTTATCGGATCCTAGGACACATTGAGGATGCATTTGGGCACTGTCCACTTGTGATTGGATTACTCAAGACGGAATTTGATACCATGCCTGAACGTGGGCTATGATTCACTGTTTCCTCAGACCGCTGAAGGTGCTCAGAGGCCGGTCATGATGACACAGCTGGTCATTTCTCCTGCATCCAACATGTATGAGAACGAACTGGTCTCCAACTGGTCCGTTCACATCCTGAATGGTAAAGCATCTTAAAAAATGGGCTTACACACAACTTTATCATGCTAATGAGTGTGTATGAATGTTTCATCAGTAAACATTTTCATCAGTCATTGCTTCTTTTGTGGCTATTTTCTCTAGCATGGGAGGTGAACTGCTCAAAGCACTGAGAAGATGATTTTACAACAATTCATACTCTATACCTATATTAGTGAAACAGACCATATTTGATCCTTGATCTGTACAGATCAACCCCCGGAGTTGGGAACACATGTGAACCGTGGATTAATTACAGAGTTTACATATTTGTGTAAAAACTTTTTACTTTATAAAGTGATAATTGAGTACATTTCATTTCAGAGATGCAGTTAAATCAAAACAGTTGTGTCTTCACGAGAGGTTTTATTGTTCATGTGAGACAAACAGCTGTTAGTTCACGACGTCACTCCCATCATATCTATGTAATCATGTCTGGGGGAGTGACTAAGTTGGAGCCGAGACGCCACACACTAACCTGTTCTACTGTTGCAATAAACATTTGAACGTGAGTTGTCTGACTGAACAGGATTTAATGCCACTTGCAGATACGCAGATAGCTGCAGCTGAAATTATGAGGTCTGACTGTCTGTGTAGACGGTGCAACTTTGTAAGTGTGGGAGTGCAAGACACCGAGCGAGAGCAAGGCTAATAGTGCTGCAGACAGCTCAACAAGGAATCAACAGAGCAAAACACTAACTCAAGGATCTCTTATGTTAATATAGGAAGTGCAATTTTTTTTTATGAAACTGTGGTGTGACTAGGGATGTCACTTGAACCAATACTTCAGTACCAGGTCAATTGAAAAATTCTAAAACCGTCACGTTACTCCTTCACAGTAGTGCAGTTACCAATACCAACCCAGCTTAAGGGCGGCTGCCGCCTCTACTTCGGGATAGGTGCACACCACAAGTCTTCCCTCCTCGTTCCTCCCCCGCTGGCCTGCACTCACTTTTTTAAAGGTGGACACCATCACTGGTCAGAGGTTCTTGAGAACAGTGCAGTGCTTAGGATTTGCTTTGAGTTTGTTTGGTTCGCTATGTAGTATTTATGTATTTAAAAAGAGCGACAGAGACGAGAAGAAACACACGTGTGCTCCTGCAGACAGATTTTTATAGAGTGTGTTAAAGTAAGATGGATTCAATGTTTTGTTTTTGCTGTGGTATCGTAAATTGGTATCGAGACTCATGGAAATTGGTATGGTATAAACTACTAAATATTTGGTATCATGACATCCCAAGGTGTAACAAATTAGAATATGGCAGTCTAGATAATTCAGTGGGAAACACTGAAAACACAACAAAGGTTATTTCAAATTTTCTATTGTTCATATCGCACTTCGATTTAAATATTATAATTTGAATTTAAATGTCTATTTTGTCATTGAACAGCTGGAATGTTGTCAATTAGAAAGCGATATTTGTCTCCTTTTTTTGCTCATCCACATTGATCAGAGACATACATTTTGAATTTGTAAAAGCCTGTTAATACACAAGGATTTCCTAAGTTAACATATTTCTGTGTCACAGGTGACAAGTCAAAAGTGTACAAAACCACTTATCTAAACCAAAAGATCAGAGGTTCAAAACATGAGGACACCCTCATTACAGAGGATTGTTTGAGGTTACATTTGAAGCAGCAAGTCGGTCACCTTTGTTTTTCTTCCAAAGATGTTTGACAAACCTGTCTGTTTGTCTAAGTATCTCACCGCTCATATGTATTGGCCCTCCTGACTTTTTTTTACAATCCACATTGTGAGATTGCAAGTACGGATAGGAAAGAGGTAACAAAACCTTCAAAATTAAGACAAGTTGCAATAAACTGGAATTATAATTAAATAAATAATTTCAAAACTGCACTTGAATTGGACTGCCAGTATTTGTGTGTAAATTCTTACTTCTTTCATCCCACAAAGTACAGACTGAGCATCTTTTAAACGTTGTGATTGTTTTCCTCTAGTTTCTTGTTCTCCTCAGAGGTCCCCAGCTCCTTCTCACCAGTTTTCCAGCTTCCTTGCCTGTGGTGAATACAGAACTGCAAGTGTTATATACTTCTGATATAGAATGACTTTCTAACTCTGCTGCAGACAGCACAGTCGGTTAGCCAACAGCAAGCCGAAGACTTGTATAGTCAATATATACATGCCACGCTCCCACTCTCTCCTCTGGACTTGCATCCGCTTCTGTCGATTCTCCCTCTGCTACGTGCTCTGAAAACCTCCCGCCTGGTACTACACCCACAGCAGCTTATCACTTCTGTGACACGTGTCATCATTTTAGTGCAGACAGGAGTGCTTGTTCAGTCTATTTTCAGAGTTGCTGTGGCTATAGCCCTTGACCTCCCTCCCGCTGGCTAATATTCTAAATTCTGCATTTAGGTTACGATTCTGGTTTCCCCTGTTTGAAATGTGGAGCAGGGATGTTAAGTTGAAATGTAAAATGCAAATGTACACACTAGCGCTCACTCCTGTGTTGTTTTTGTATACCTTGAATTCTTCACGTAGAGCCAGTAGATGAGTCCAACTACTGCAGCAGCTATGAGGAGCCCTGCTACAACACCCACTATGAGCTTTGCTTGGTCGTCTGAATCCTCCTGAGGGGCTGAAAACAGAAAGCAACAACCCACTTAAGTTGCAGGAGCAACACACACACACACTTAGACAGTGTTCGAACAGAGAACCTTAAGGAGTTAATTGAAATACTGACTCAACATAGCTGTGAAGAGAACAGCACATGTCCTCAGTAGATTATTATGATGCATGAGATGCTCCATACCAACATTTTAGCATGGGTGACACCCCAGAAAGCTCAAGTCTAACCACCTCTGCACAACATATACTCCAGAAACACACTCATTGGCTGATTCTTAATCAAACAACACTTTCTTTCATTGTCCTGTGCTTACAGCAAAGCAGTGTGTTGTCTTTACTATAATAACATTAAAAATCACTTTAAAACAACCAGTGGAACTTTGTTTATATTCCAGGGAAGTAAGATCATCAGCAGCTGACAGAAAAACATTGGATATTTTGGAGGAGATGATGTCTTGTGTGTGTTCCATCAAAAGAACAGGATCATATCAGTGTGTCAGACACATGGAGAGAAAATGTATGACTGTGAGAAAGAGAGGGCCAAAAAGTAGCAGAGAAAAGAGGCAGCCCTGTCGATTACTGGAAAACTGAGGGGAGCTAATATGCAGCCTATTTCCAAGGGGTTTGCTATAAGACTTAGATTAATGAACTGCATCCCTAGTTCAAATGTATCACATGCATCTAATGTGCAAGTGGAATCTAAACTACCCGCTTGCTGAATGATGTGCAACAAGTGATGTACGTTGTCAGCTGCTGCATGGGCTTTAATGAAACCTGTGAGCTTATTGAGTGCATTAGGCCTTTTGTTGTAGACTATAACTAAATGAATAAGTCTCCACTGGCAAACAAGCCAGGCTACCAGTCTTTCCCCATCTGAATCCTCTGCTCAATAACTTCTCAAAGCATATGATTGTGCTTCTTCTTCTTATGCTCATTATTTTCTCATGCACATCGTTTCATGGTGTTAGGGTTAGAGCTCCTTACCATAGCTGAGAATGCTTCCATTCATTTAGGGATCCTGTCCTGCCTCTTTTCTTGGGCCTGACACTTACTGAAGATGCTTCTTAAACCCACACACCTCAGTAACTTACTAAATATTATCATACACTCCCAATTGATCCAATGAATGAATTGGAGTCCGACATCCACAGTCAATTTGTAGTTCTGATGCTGACAGTAACTGTGGCACATACATCGGTATGACTGTGTTTTCATCTTTTAACAATACCATCTGCAGTGGGTTAATAATAATCAGACACTCTCATTTGTCTAATCAGCCTCTGAGATTTCCTCTGCACGAGTGAGCCTGTTTGAAGACACATTATGAAGATATAAGATAAGATGAGGGTGCATGATCAGACACAGTCTCGTCTGCATGTGAAGTGATGAATATGGGTCAGTTAATGCAAGAGCAGAAAGTGATAGTGTTCATTGTCAGATTATGTACCAACATTATCAAAAAAGAAATAAAGGGGCAAAGAAAAACAAAATCTTACCTTTATCTTCCCTGTCCTCCTTAAAAACTGAAATCAAACATAAATAAATTAGAAATCAAAAATAAAAGACAAACAAAACACACATTTTCTGTTTGTCATACTGGATTCTGCAATGATTCTGCCAGGTACAGCCTGACAAGATGAAATCAAATGTCTTTCTGAAAGAAAACACTAATACAGTTACTGAAAGCAACAATTTACTTTGCTCATCAATCGTATACCAAGTATACATTGGCTCTGAAACTGTAGGTGAAAAAATAGCAAGACAGGTTTAGAACCCCAACAAATAATAAATCCAGCCAAACAAGGAAGTAAGGAAGGAGGAGAGAAGACAAAAGAAGGATTATCAAAGACAGAAAGAAAGAATGAGGAGGAACAGCAATGGAACAGCATGTATGCGTGAAATGAAATGATACCACATTGGCATTCAGTGTTAGCTTAGTGTTTGACAGCTCTGGCCTTTCATTACATACTCCTTTTTGTTTTTGTTTCTTTTCCTCATCCCAGTCTCTATAGTAGGTAAAGTGTAAGGATTTAGTATAATTGGTTTCCCTGCACACATTTAAATAAAAGTTCTACATCAGCACATTCTGCAAATGACAATGTTGATAATAGGTTTAAACCATTGTAGGAAAGGAAACAAAGGGTTATACAGTGTTTCAAAAAAAGGAAAAAACAACTTCAAGTCTCTTCACATCCAAAAAGATAGTGCTTTTAATAGCAGACTCTTTGTGTGTTTACACAAAACTACCGCACTATTTACCATAAAGCTTAAACCTGTTCAAACCTGTTTAAATAGAATCCATAAATTGGTTCTTTAGTCAGTGTGCATTCACTTATCCTATATGAATAAATTACCTTAATGTCACTTGCCACTTATCTTTACTTCGTCTTTTTACTCATAAATTAAACAAAATCAATTGTGAATGGAATTATGCACAGCAGGCACCACATTTCATCTGAACCAATTACTGTTGGAGTGTAATGGTTATTTATTAATTAGAGAATTATAATCATGTATAGTCAAATTTTATGTATTCTACAAATAAAGGAAAGAAAACCAGTATCACAAGTTTTCAAACAACTTCATGGGTATAAAGCTGCAAAAATCCATTCATCATCATCATCATCAGACCAACTGTTCTAAAACCACACATTGCACCACAACGTGATTGGACAAAAACATTGAACTCAGCGGTTTCACATCAGATAAACAATTCTAAATGTCAATGTCAATCACACCTAATACTTCACATATTTAATATTTGGTCTATTCATTATTCAAAATCATATAAATATATATAATCAAATTTTCCTCTATATTTTACAGAAATGTCATGCCTCCTTGCAGCTACAATTTAAATGTTTTTATATATCCTTGAACATAAATCTCATAACACAACGCCTAAATGTTGTAACTCTTATTTACTTTGCTATACCCTGTTAATTTAAACTGGAAAATAACTGATTCTCACTGTGCGACTCTTAAAAGTTTTACCTTATCTCCTTGGATGACCATAAAAAAAAGAATTTGATTGTCACCTAAGTAGCTTGTGTGGCCTTTAATTTCAAGAAGTCTTTGCTTTGGTGTTTTCTCTCTTTAGATGTTCTAAAATGTAATGTCTATTTTTGTAGAATCAGAAGTGAAGTGTCACAATGAGTAGTCACTATTAAAACAAGGCTCCACTAATTAAGGCTGCTCGTATGATCCCTGTTAAGTTACACTGGCAGCAATTCAATCATCAAGACACCAGCAGCTTGTTTGCTGAGCTGCTGAATAAACTGAGGTAGAGGTGGTCAACATGTGCATCCATCTAATAGGGGAATCCTGAGTAAAGTTTGACTTTAACTTGAATGATTTTTCCTCTCTGGCTGACCTTCCTCATCTTTATAAGTCACTATTCCCCTATCTGAGTCATCTACTGTCGAGGGAGTTTGTGTTGCTTCCCTCTGGTCATAGATTCTTATAGCCTAAATGCAGGTTGAACAGGTTTAAAAACTTATTTGACCCTGATGCCATCAGCCTTTTAAATGAGTCTTTGTGATTTTTACATTTTTATTTTGTATTATTTGCATTGTATTTATTGGTTGTCTGTTTTTGTCTTGCACTGACTGCTGGCTGTAAAGCAAATTGCTTTTGGGGATAATAAATATTTCTTAACATGACATGACTTGACTACATTTCCCACAAATAGAAAAATAAAACTGTGGCAGTCGACCATGCCACGGGGTTCCCCTCACGACAGCCAGAGACAAACCAGTCCAACCATTTCTTGTTCAGCATCTCTTTATTAACGTGAAACTGAAACTTACAGAACATTAACTTAAAGGGTCCAGCACTTTCTGCTGGACCTTTGGCTTAACCAAGTCTCTCCCCCCCAGTGTGTGTCCTCAGTGTCCTGTGCGTTTCTCAGAGCGTTCCTCTGAGTGTCCTCTCTTGAGCGTGTGTCTCTCAGTGCCTTTTCTGTGCATTCTCTCGAGGCAGCTCTGCTGCCTCCTTTTAAAGTCTGAGGATCAATCAGCTAACAGCTCTCACCTGTGCTGATTGATCCTCWGTGGTGCAGGTGAAGGTGCTCTCTCCGCCCCTTCACCTCCACAAAAACCAACCGACCAACTTGCATACAAGAATTATCTTACCAGAGGAAACATTGATGGTCATGACGTTAAATCCCAGCTTGTTGCTGACAGTGCAGCTGACAGTCAGGTTCACCTTTGGGATCACAGTGATTTTATGGGTGGCCTTGCCATCGATATAAACGCTCTCCTCCTGGTGGAACAACAAAGAGACATTCACGGAAATACAAGATTATTAGAGGAAGTTTTTCCTCTACAGTCACCAAAGTGCTGCTCATTGTGGGAACTGTTGGGTTTCTCTATATTAATACGATTTTAAGGTCTTGACCTTCTATTTAAAGTGCCTTGAGATAATGTATATTATGATTTGGCGCTATACAAATTAAATTGAATTGAAACAGGTTTATTGTTTCATCTCTATTTAACAGATTAGAT